TATACATTACAACGACTTCTTGTTATATATACACAATCACGATTAATATTATTGCTATTATTTTGATGGTGTGGATCATTATGTATTTTTGAATGTTCACTACTTATATTTTCCTCATTCTCATTACATAGATCATAATAGTCTAATGTCACTAAATTCTGATTTTTAGTTTTTCTTAAATGAAATTTATTCCATCTAATTACCCTATTATCTTTTGTTCTAATCCAATATGATCCAGGAGTTGAATGCTTTTTTAAAACTATAACAGGCTCCCATTTATTTTCCCATCTCAACATTACCTTTTCCCCAGGAATAAATTCAGGTCTTTCCCTTGCATACTTATCATAATAGATTTTAGCCTGTTTCTGCTTACTCCTCACCTTTTCTCTATATTGATCTTTTACAGTTGGTTTCAATTCTGTTTGTGTAATTGGTAATCGTGTTCTTAAATTCCTACTTAATAGCATTTGACTTGGTGATAAATTTATACCTGAAATTGGAGTATTTCTATATTCTAGTAAAGCCTAACTTAATTTCTCTAATCCTGCTTTTCTAAATAAACTCTTAGCTATACCTACCAACCTTTCTGCAAATCCATTGGATTTAGGATATCAAGGACTGCTAGTGATTATTTCAAATCCCCAATCCCTTGCGAAACTCTTCATTTTCCAACTATTAAATGGTACGTTATCACAAATTAAAGTTTTGGGTATTCCATGTGTTGCAAATATCGATTTCAATTTACTAGCAACTTCCACTGCACTTTTATTTTTTAGAGGAATTATGTCTACCCATTTAGTTAAGTAACAGCCTATTACTAGATAACTTTTCCCTGCATACTCACAGATATCAGCACCAACCTTTTCATAAGGTAAACTGGGAATTTCATGAGAAACAAGAGGTTCTTTTACTGTTTGAGGCCTGAACCTATCACAAATTAGGCATTTAGAAATAATATTCTCAACGTCATTGTTGATTCCTGGCCAAAATAGTACTTGTCGAGCCCTAGCTTTTGATTTTTCAATCCCACAGTGAGCTTCATGCAATAATGTTAACATACACTTTCTTAATGCAACAGGTACTACAATTCGATTATTAAAAAAAAACTAAATCTTGTTCAACACTCAACTCATTTTTAAATTTAAAATAAGATCTTGCTTCTTTAGGAACTTTATCAACACTCAAAGGCATCCATTTTGCCAATATTCTTTCACTAGCATTAACCCTTCATCTTCTAATGTAGCTTTCTGAAATTCCCCTTTTCTTACTCTCAGACATTTGCAGTTGTTTGTTAGTGTATGAACAATTTCTGTCATATCCATGTTTTCATTCATGTCTGTATCAATAAAGGAACGTGACAGTAAATCTGCAAATATACATACATTTCCCAGGCAAATATTTAAGTTTTAAGTTATATTTTAAGAGCTTAATTTTTATCCTCTGCAATCTATTTGACAACACATTTAGCAATATTTTTGTTCATAATTGAAACTAATGGTTTATGATCAGTAAGCACTTCTACCTCTCTTCCATAAATGTAATAGTGAAATTTATTAGCAGCAAATAAAATACTAAGAAATTCTTTCTCAATCTCAGCATAGTTTTTTTCTGCATTATTTAAACTCCAAGACGAAAAAGCAATTGGTTGCCCATTCTGCAATAAGCAGCAGACTAACCCATCTTTAGAACTATCTGCCTGTATAGTTATAGGTTTACTGCTATCAAATATTCCTAACACAGGTGCATTGGAAATTAATTTTTTTAATTCCCCGAATGCTTTAGAATGTAGCTGTAACCACTGCCATTCTACTTTGTTTTTCAAAAATTCTCTTAATATGGCTGTTTTCTCTAAAAAATATGGTACAAATTTCCTCAAATAATTACACATTCCCAAAAACACGCTGTAATTCATGTTATTCTGAGGTTCCTGTAACTCAGTAATGGCTTTAATTCGATCAGGATCAGGTTGCATGCCTGACGCATTAAATAAATGACCTAAATATTTAACCTCACTAACCCTATGTTAAAGTTTTAGCTTGTTGAATTTAATATTGAGTTTTTTAGCTCTGTTGATGACCTCTGTTAAAATTTTATCATGTTCTTGTATAGTGCTAGCAGCAATGAGGATGTCATCAAAATAGACCAATACTCCTGGTATATCACCAAAGTTTTCAAGATTGTGTTTCTGAAAAATTTCAGGTGCACAGGAAATACCCATTGGAAGCCTTAAGAATTTATAGCATCCAAATGGTGTGCTAAAAGTACAAAGATCACTATTTTCCCATCTAACGCTATTTGAAAAAAACCATCCTTTAAGTCCAAAACCAGAGTAAATTGATTTATTACATAGCTTTGGTAAAATCTCCTCAATTGTTGGAATCAACACGTTCTCTTTTTTATAGCTTTGTTAAGATCTTGAGGATCAAGGCATATTCTTAAGGATCCATTAGCTTTTTCAAATATTACTAGATTGCTAACCCAGTTCAAAAGTTGATCAACTTTGCAAACAATGCCCTGTCTCTCTAATTCGCTTAATTTTAATTTCAAGTTTAGGTTTTAAACTAAGTGGTACTCTAACATGGTGGTCTCACTACAGGAGCTATCTGATCATCAACCATGATTTTACACAATTCATTAAATTTCCCCACACCTTCAAATACTTCTGAATTATTAATAATAAATTGATCTTTAGATGGAGGTAAAATAATTGTATACTGATCCAACTTACCATTAATTGATATTCCAACCTTATTTATAAACTAAATTAAATTAAGTTTAACACATACATCAATTCCTAATAATGGACGTATATGCTTGCTAGAAACAATTAAAAACTCTAGAGTATGATCGACACCATCTGAGGAACATTGTAACATTAATGACCCATCAGGTTTAACCTTGGACCCCCCAAATGCTTCTAATACAACATTACACTTGTTTAAAATAAGATTAGAGTTCTTAGCATTCAATGTTTCGTAAGTTTTCACAGGCAAAACATTCACTTCAGACCCTGTGTCCAACTTAACAGTCACAGTTGTCCCTTCAACAATTAAAGTTTTAGTCCACTCTTCTGAAGATGATGTTGAGCACACACTTTTAGTTCTTTGAACATTTATGGAATTCACGAAGAATTCATTATCAGAGTCCCTATATACATCTGCGTTATCATGCTGAGAAACATTTTGGATGTGCTTCAGTGTGCACATAGTCGAAAAGTGATTTAGTTTGCCACAATTAAAGCATTTTTCCCATATGGCGGACACTGTCCATTAACGTGATGTCTATTACATTTTTTACATAAAGATGTCTCAGTATTTAAAGTGTCATCACTCCATCCTCTGCGCTTCTTCACTGCTAAGGCTGCATTGGCTCCTCCTGTCCGATGTTGCTTCACTTTTTCTCTAGTTACGCTGTCAACATTGTGTTCTCTTAATGTTTGAGCACGAGCTTTGCTCAATTCAGCTGCTTTCCCTAATTCAATTGCTTTTTCCAAACTCAGATTATTTTCTCACAGCATCCTTTCCTGTAAACTGGCATCTGATACTCCAAGGACAATGCGATCACGTATGACAGAGTCACTCTGCTCACCAAATTCGCAAGATTTTACAAGTTTTTTCAGGTCAGTTACGAAACAATCAAAAAGTTCCCCTTCTTCTTGCTTTCTCTTATTGAATAAAAATCTCTCCACCACAACATTTGTTTTAGGTGTCGTGAAAGCTTCAAACCTCTCAAGCACTTTTTCATAGTTACCCTGATCTCCTGTTGAAAGATTGAACGTGTTGAACACTTCAACTGCTTCCTCACCAGCGACATTTAAAAATAAAGCAACTTTCACATCTGAATCTTTGAAGCATTTCCTGAAGCTTTTACATAAATCTGGAACAGCTGCTTGAATCTGCACCAGTTTTCAGCCACATTGCCGTTGAAACTTAGGCCTTGCGGTGGGCGACAAAATTCCATCTTGCGTCTGCTGAGAGGAAAAACAACCAAGGGGATTGATTGCCTGGCAATTAGTTGTAATACTATTCCACACGACTACGCCATGTTTTAATCATATTAATATTTATTGATCTATAATTAAGTTCATTACAACACTTTCACATAGCCCATTGTTTATTCCACACGAACATTAACTAACAATTGCTTCACTTCAGTTTGACCAGCAACTAGTGTGTTGCCACATATATGTAACAATAAACTCATGTGGAATCTGAACATAAACATGAGAATGTCTTTCTTTAATTTCAAATAATAATCTACTACAATTCATTGTATTCAATGAAACTTCGCTACTGTTTATTTTCTGCAATATTCTTACCTCTATCATCAACTTCCACTTTGCTTAATCATGTATTTCTAAGCTCCTCCTCAAGATTAAAATTTTTACTTTGAATGTTAAATCACTATTGTCATTGACATCCACTGATAGCACCTGAACACACTGGAAAAAAAGTGAAACTCACAAAGGATATCAAGAGTGTGTAGCTCATCATATGAAATTTAGTACCTAATAAATGAAAATAATGAAATTTCAGTTCAGTGGAACTGGGGCAAAAGTGTAGCAAGCAGATTATAATAACTTGCTAAAATTTTGATCCCAGATTCATTTTAATATACTTTTGTGCACTTAAATTTTGACAAGATAGCATCCTGCATTGCTCCCCAATCAATGCAATATGTCATAAGATTATCATGTTTTGCAGATAAAGAAAGATAATTATGCATTATGTGCACTTTCACATAATCCTTAAAAGTTACCTCTCAGAGTAAAAATTCCTCTAATTAAACTACAAGCATTTTAACACTTGACAAGGACAGAATGTTACTGAATTGACTCATTTAAAACAAAAGAAATGAATTAAGAAACTGTTTGTGTAAATATTCTAATTTAGTTCCATTACTTAGCTTAGTGTTGTCATAAATATTCTCGAGATATAAAAGCATGCACATAAAAACACTTTTGTGTTAAAGCATAAAATTAAATAAAACACAGAATTTTTTATTTCTAAAAAATTTACTTTGACAGATACATTTCTATAAAAAACATAATATAAATAATACAATTTCAGTTAACAATATATAAAGTTTTTTACAGAAATTTGTCTAAAAATTTATGTAAATTCATTACTACTCCAACTCCTCTTGATGGGTCCATGCTTATAAAGTCATCAAGGTTATTTGTTGATTCTAGAAAGAGAAAACTATAAGTGACATTCACTATATACTTAATCATTACAAGTAAAGTTCTAAATCATGTTCTTAGTTTTATGTGTATTTTCATATTGCTTGCAATAAGAATAGAATTTAAAAACAGAAGACAGTTTTACACAATTTTAAGAGGTTGAATAATCAAGACAATAAAAAATTTAGCCATAGAATCACTGGAATAATCAGAAAAACAATTAATAAAAACTTTCACTTTTAACGCCACTTTTTAAAAAATGATAAAAAGCCCACAAATGTTTTATATATACAATTTCCTTTGTAACTTTGAAATTAATCTTTCATTGATGAAAGATTAATTTCTAAGTTACAAAGGAAATTGTAAGTTTATAAGTTACATCTTTCATTGATGAATTTTTTTTACCATCATAGATTTGACTTCCAGTCTTTTAATTATAATATGTTTCTTACTATAGTATGAGAGATAATCAAATATTTTAATAAATATAGCTTGACACAAATTAACATAAACTCAAGGATCAGAAAAATTATATCACAAATATGGCCACTTCAAAAATAGTTTGCTCACATTACATCACTATTTGTAGTACACTATTATATGTTCACATTACATGACCATTATATTTCAAGTTTATTATGATGATAACCTGGAATATATAAATACAAAAAATTTGCAGCAAAAACTTTTAGCCAATCTAATTACCAAAATGATATTCTTCATTTTGCAATCAGTTCTGTTTCTCAAGCACTGCTTCAAATAATGGCAAACATTTATCATTTACCACAAAGACGTTCAAACTTTGAAAATTCTAGGTTGCATGACCCAGCAGAAATATGAGAAGGACCACACTGCTCTATAAAAATATTCCAAAAGGCTGCATACAGAATTTAATATTCATTATGACTAAAATATAACCAACTATATATAAAAAATTACACTTTATTTGAATATCTAGTTTGATAGTTATCATAGTAATATATTATTTAAAACATTTGTCTGCCACCAGTAATTATTCAGAATAATTAATAGAAAAGTTCAAATTAATACTTTCATTCTTATTTAAATTATACATTATTTCTGTGTACACACATGCAGCATGTATTTTAACCCTTAGAAGGCCTTTGCTCACCTGTTTCTTTGAAAAACTGAACAGAATGAAAAATGAAAATAAAAAGAATGAAACCAAAAAGAATGAAAAATAGGTAAATAAAATTTACATATTTTCAGGAAAGTCAAGGGCAATTTTAAAGAGAGATAGTTATTTGCGGAATTTAAAAATGAATTCCATTTTCATTTTACTGAAAGATAACATTTTTGTTTTATACCAAGGCACCACAGAGGATTATTATCTCACTTCAGTCTGAAAGATACTGACTAGAAGAGTTGAGTTCTGAATTAACATTATTTGCTTTCATAGTTTATGAATTTTAATAAATTAGATTAATTGCAATTGCAAGCTTTTAGACTTCAGATCATAAGTGAATTTATATTTTAATACATTTGTCTACCACCAGTTGTTCAGGACAATCAACAGAACAGTTCAAATTAATATTTTCATACTTATTTAAATTATACATTTTTCTGTATACACATATGCAGCATGCATATTAGCCCTTAGAATGCTAAGGCCTTTAATCACCTGTTTCATTAAAAAACTGAAACCTCTGAAATTCCACTTGAGATTCACAACTATTTCTCCCCCCCCCTTTGTTAATTAACCAAAAAAGAAGTGTGAAGATTTCAAATGATACTGTTCTAGTTCCTAACAATGAAGCTTTCCCCGAGTGTATAAGTCACTTTTAACCTAAAGCTAAGCAACCACAAAAGAATCCTTTTAAGATAACACAGCCTACAGTAAAGATGAAGTGACATAATGCATTTAAAGAAACTGCACCTTATTCTATTGTACTCTTACTTTTTAGAGGGTACAGAGATGAGGTTCAGGTAATGGATGAGAGTTCTGACAGTGATGACGAATTGTATACCAAATAAAAGTTGATTTCGATAACAAGCTCCAGCTCAGAAGGGCTATTAATTTCATTTTGGCAATTTGTGTCGATTCAATATAAATGGCAAATCACTTTTGAAATTGTTGCCACCAAATACTATTGCCCTGTATTATATTTAAAGAAATTAAATGATTAAGAATCTGCATAAATGTATGTATGCTTCTCGCACTGTAATAAAATGATGGTACCTAGAGCCATCAAATTTTGAATAACGTATGTCTCCACACAAATATGGGCATCTGAAAACCCAAATTTGGAATTTGTTTTATTATCGATTTCATATTTTGTAAAGCATTTATGAGTTTTTAATTAAGAAACTCAATGATTTCAAAGCGAGCAATGGCAACACTGTATGGGGAAAGAAACAATTTTTATCTCCAGCGCTTGAGACTGTGTATCCGAAATTCTAAAGATGTGCTCTTTTAAATATTTTGCGATATTGCTGTTGGATTGAATTTATGGTTTAAGTGCGAAGAACATGATATTTAATAAATAAAGGTAACACACAAAACGTTAAAAATGCCTCTTTGGGCGTAATATAAAATCTGAAACCTTTCACAATTTTTTTTGGTAATATTTTATTCCTATTAAATTTGCATGCTTTTTGCTATTTACATGAATTTGTCCACACAGAATTTCAGAGTGAACTGAGTAACCTTCTGAAAGAAAGCCCATATTTCCCCAAACTGCCATGAGAAAGAGGTATTTTACTTTAAAGCCAAAATGTCCCTTGTTATTTCTATCTGGATTTATGCAGTTTTATTATAGTTCCTTAATTCATTGGACATACTTCAAGATGCGATTATATACAGATGTCATACAGACAGATAAATGTAGATATCTTAAAGACGTCACAAAAAATATTGTAGGTGATATACAATATATATAGCCTTGTCAGTCAGAGGGTTATGTATCATTATTTACACTTTCAATTTAATTTCAAAAGCTACCATTCTTTGAAGTACAATTATTGATTTGGGTGATAAATTTAAGATAAATTAAGTAAATGATAAATTTAAGTAAATAACCATACCCATTAAAATTTTTACAAAAGGGTTCTTATTTTTAAATTCACCATCACATGGATTCTTCATTCATTTTATTAGTTATGCAATGCAACCCGCATCAACAGGCTCTCAGGGCCACAGGTTGGATGCTCCTGATTTAAGGCCATATAAGAAATCAGAAATGTTCAGATGATTAATTTGGCGTAACTCTCCAAACGATTAATTGGGTTTTTTGCTGCAAAACCCAGAAAGCAAACAAGATGAATATTCTGATCACCTTACTTTTATCATATTTTAAATAATCTAGGACAGTGGTCTCCAAACTATGGGCAGTAGCTGCAGGCCGGTCATAACCAGTATTTGGCCAGCCAAGGTATATTTTAATTAGTACATTATGAAATTTGTAATATAAATAAGTCATAAAATTTATAATTGGATGTTTATATTTAATAACCAATTAAGAAACACAATGATAGACATACATTATGGAACTGAATATTTTCACTGTAATTAATAATATGATATTTATCCTAAAACTTACAATGACATTTATGTAGCTGTAATTTTCCATTGATAATTGTTTGTAGTTGTGGATTAACTTTACCAGTGGAAATTATAAATAGTGACTTCAAATGCTCATCAGTTAACTTGGTTCTGTAAATATTTTTGTATGTTTCATTTTGAAGAATGCTTTTCACTCTGATAAGTAGTTACAAAAGCTAAGTTCTTTTTCCCACAAGATGGTGCTGCATAACTACAGCGCAATGCTTTTGATCTTTTTTTACTTGTGTATTCTTTGGTTTATTATTACTATTCCATGTAACCCACCTCCATTAAGTATAATCATTAACATGTACATATACAGGTACTGAAATAACACAATAATAAAGAGGCATTTTTACATTAAGCAGGTATGCAAGAATGGTGTACCTAGGTAATTATACATATTTAATTTAATTTTAAAAAATATATGCAGATTTGGGGATAATGGGAACCCTGAGGCTGTTTGGCAATACTCAATAACTTGAAACTTGGATCCAAAGATGACAAATTTGGGCTCAATTTATGCTGGAAACTTGCATTGCATTTACACTAGAATATCTGTTTCTGTACTTAATTTTTAAGTAAGTGTACAACAAGAAAGCCCTTCCCACTAATATGGTCAGAGCTGGATTTATACTTAATAAGACCATAAACTATTTGAGATATGGAGCCTTTTATAAGTCTGTTATACATTATTTTAATTTTTTATTGGGGGGGGGCAAGAAAGTGGGAGCCCTAAGCTATAGCTTGTGTAGCTTATACATAAATCCTGCTCTGAATACGGTTTTTGTGATGGTAGAAGAATAGTGATTGCCTTGTTGAATAGTTCAGAATATTCCTCTCACAAGTTAGTCCCCCCCCCAAAAAAAAATGTGGGATTTATTTCTTTTTAAGTTCTACCTTCAATGAAGAATCCATTTTCAGTTCCATAAACTCAACTTTTTCTTGCATTGATAAAAGTCCACACTGGAAATAGTTTTCGCTGAAAGAGAATGCAATTCAGTGGACTTCTGTCCAACATTTGAGAAATACTTTTTGAAAGCTCCCTTAGATCTTTCAGATGTTCAGAACTTTTTGAGATACATGATGATCCATTTCAGAAAGAAAATCAGGCAGTGTTTCAAAAACTTCAAATTTGTTGTTCCCAATGCATAACTTAATTTTTTATTATTATGAAAGACTATTTTGTCATTAACTTGAAATACAGTTACTGCATTGACCTGAAGTGACACATTTAGTTGGTTTAATTTTTAAAAGATATTGGACATATATGCAATGCTTTGAAACGATTCATAATCATCAAATTTAAATGAAAGTCCAGAAAAGTGATGGTCAAAGAACACTTTGACTTCATGTCTAAGCTCAAACAAATGTGTATGAAATTTACTTACAAGGTCATCAAACTTCAAAATGAAAAAGTAGGGTTTAGTGAATACTGCCCATTTCTTGACATAAAGATGAGAATAGCGTTAAATTTTTGTGGTGGGATTTGAAGAAATTAACCACTTTTACAGAATAATCCAAAAATCTATCATGCTAGTAGAAAGGGGCTTTAGTGCTAGAGCTTGTCGATGTATCCAACAAACTGGCTAATGCTTTGATACATCGAAGGAGACCAGAGTTATAACCTGGCATAGACTTGTCACTGTCAGTATTTAAATTCCAACACTCTGACCATTTCATTCCCTTTGTTAAGCAGGAATCAATCTCATGAAAAATATCTGCATCTGTTGTACATTCGGAAAGAAGATGACAAAGCATGATTCTATAAGACTATTTCACTGAAGAGAAGAATACATTAATTTTGTAAACATTATCCAAACACACAAAAAACTGCAACTTGGATGCTGTGCAAAATCAGATTTTCACCAATCATGTCATTTTTGCAATTTCTGGCAAAAGTTAATGATGTGGTAGTAAGCTTCAACACCATCTTCACTAATACAACCAAAAGACAACTATGTAACTATATTGACTTATTCTTATTTTCAAGCAAATCTGTTAGACAGCACTTATCCACAAACTACCATTCAGATCCAAGAATGTTCTCAATAATTATGAACAAAAACAAATACAAGTCAGAATAATTATAAAACTATGCCACTAGTCAATTTGAAAACATGCTAGGAACTGATTAAAAACAATATTATGGTGATAAATATAGAGAGACAAAGCAGTATTGCCAACCTTAATGAGATGTATCGTACATCACTTTTACTATTAATTGTTAGATGGTGGTGCAGGTAATCTTTCAAATTATAATTTGATGGTAATATTTTTGGAGGAGAGTGTATGTTATATCAATTTGTAAATATTCTGAGTTTGCTTATAATATGAAATTATTGTACAATGTATGTAAAATATCCACTCTAAAATTTCATAACACATGAAGATTTAATTATGGGCCAAACACTATAATTAGTATATCGACAACACTGATATAAAAGAATGGACAAATTACAACCAATCAATGACAAACATCAGGCTTTTTCCAGATTCTTTACAAAAATTAATTTTATTACAAAAAACAGTGCCAAATTGCTTGCCTGCTTTGTGTAAGGATTACTGAAATACACCTATTGTTGTTGGGTGTCGGATGGTGGTCCTATTCCTCTCAATAGGTACTGTGATCCTACAGATAAGATATATTCCTAAATTGAATTTAAAACATTCATAACTTTGCAAATTCAACTTACATTTTAATCACTTTAATTATGTCGATTTTTCATAATTAAAAATAATTAAATCGAAAATGCCAGCTGTTACAACAGCTTTTCATCTTTTCTCTTATGTTTAATCTATCTATCAAAGTCAACCATTATGTCTTTTTTCCACATACTTGAGACTATTACACTTGCCCCTGCAAGCATGCAGACCACAGGTTGAGAAACGCTCCTGTAGTGCAAGGCATTGACTCTTGAAACTTAACGGAGGAGTCAGTGTGACTCTTATTCTAAAATGTTTGGATACCCTGGATCAAGGGCATTTTTCTCCCCACAACACAACATTTTTAATCATTGTATCTTGATCTATATCATGAAGTATAACAATTCAATCAATAATTTATAATCTTTTTTCCTTTAACTCAGAAAATAAGCAAAATAAACGGTTTAATTTCATCAGATACATTTACAAATTTTTAAACTATCTAAAACACACTTTTCCTCCCAGTGAGACAGATAATTTTACTTTTTTAATAAATACATTTTAAATATATTACCAGGAATGGTTATACAAGGATAAGGAGGAGGTTCTTTAATCCATGTGCCATCAGGTTTTTTCATCCTGCTGCGATCAGATGCAAAAGTTTTTAAAAATACATCAGCTGGTACTACTCTGAAATACCTAAACATAAGTATACACAATATAATTTTAAAAGAAAATCTGTTTTGCAAAAAGTGTTAATATAACAGATGATAAATAATTACAATCCAAGCCAAAAAATAAAACTTTCTGAGTTAAACAGTGCAGGGAATTTTTTATAAGCAGCAAAATTTCTTATTTTCAATGAGAGTTTGAAATTTTAATTTTAAACTTTCCCCCCTCCATATTTTAACATTTTTTATGTATTTCTTAAATTTAGATTCACAACAACATCCATTGCTTACATTTATATTTGATCTAGATTTAATTCCTTTTTGAAAACTTTATCAGTGTGTCAGGACTGCTGTTCCTTCTAATTGCCTTTGGAACCATTTACTAATCCTGAATGGGAGCAGGAAGCTTATTTAAACTATGCTCGCGTGTGTATGTGTGTGTGTGTAGGGCAAACAATATCACTAAGAAGGGTTAACTTTACCTTTTATTTCTCACAGCATACAGCCGTTCACGCACTTAGGATACAAAGACCAGCACTTATGGTCTAAAACATAGAAAATAAGAAGTAAACTAACTTAACTAAATAAGAACTAAACTTAGATGCTTTACAGAGACTAGTAACATGAAGGTTGGCCTTTTGACACTACATCTTCAAATATCAGCAGGAACTAAGTTCTGGCTTTAAAGGCAGACAGGGACTGACTGAAAAGCATGTGTGTGGTAAGGCACATGCTTTTCACACTCTATTTTCTCTCTCTATTGGCTCAAAGACACATCTTAAAAACCTATACAGTTTGTAACCTCATTAGCACAAACAATTCTACTCGCACTTATTCTGGCTGGAAATGGAAAATAAGAGAGGATACCAGAGTTTTAAAATAAAATAAATGTTAGCAAAACTTGAAATCCTTACAAATGGACTTCATGAGTCTGAGGATCTGAAAGCAAAAGGATAACCTATAAGTTTATTAAGACGACTATATTTATCTTTATTATATATATCTTGTCATTATTACAATTTCTGCTGTTCTACAGCAAAATATTTTTTCAGTTATTTCGATGTAAAACTGTAAATCTAAAATAATTAAAGCTTATCTACAAAGACTGAAATCTATAATGAGAATTAAAAAATATATGAAATTGTAATAATATACAATACCCATTGCTCATTAAAACTACTTCTGTTCTAAACACATTTGAGTTTACTAAGTGGCTGAGTTTAATAGATGGCAATTTGTGCAAGGCAAATCATGATATGTTTAAAACTTTTCAAGCAAAATAATAACTAATTCAATAATTTATCCTAATATAATAATTAAAAATTAATGCTAAAATTAAACTATGTATGCTATTTTGAAATTCATTTTTTTAAAATTTTTTATAAAAATATTTTTCTAATACATCCTTAAAGAAAGTGTGTTGATTTCTGAATTAATCCTTAAAGAAATTCAGTTTTTTTTTTAATGACTATCCTATATGTGTCCATTTCATATTATTCAACAACTGATTTTCAATTATATTTTAAATTTTGTAAAACTCCTGGGAGCTTTTCTTTTTTTTCTTTCTTTTTTTTTTTTTTTTTTTTTTTTTTTTTTTTTTTTTGATAAGCACCCAGTTCAAGAGTTTTCCCTAGAATTTGCAATGATTTTCTGTATTTGACTAATGTTGGAACAGCATCACTTTTTGATAGTATTTGTCTATAAAGAATAATTTTAAGTTTTAATATTTTGGCAATACTGATATTTTCTTAAACTGTAAATGAATGAGTTAAAAGGGGATCTGGCATCTAGAGAGATTGTTCTATGTAATTAACCAAGTTACCAAAGCAAATAGATCTTACATGTCTCTCTATAATCACATAGGATGGAAATCTAAACTTAGCTTAAAAATTAAACGTACCCTGTATTTAGTACTTATTAGACCAATTTTGCTTTATGCAGCCCCGGCCTGGGCCACGGCGTTAAAGACTGAAAAAAGGAAAGTTAACCTCCTGCAAAATAAAATACTAAGAGCGATGGTTAATGTGCCTTGGTATGTTAGAAATACGATCATTTATGAAGATTTAAAAATTAAACCAATACCGGAGCAGATCCTAATGGATGCTCACAACTTTTTTGAGAAAATGGAGAATTCGCCAGTTAATACTTTGAGAGAACTTACTATGATCCCACTGTGGAAAGCGTCGTGAAACGACCTAGGTCAATTCACCACAATGTAAAGTGGTAGCTGTAAATATGTATATAGTTTTATCCAACTTATCTCATTTTATTGAAGTATTTAATCAAGCATTTAATCCTAGTATTTATTCAAGTATTTAACCAAGATTTATTTCATGTTTGTGAATTTGTGTTTGTGTTTACTACTAAGAATATGGACTTAGTGCCTGGACAGGCAAAGACTTTTAGTGTTATTTGTACAAAGTGTAAATAATTAAACTCACCATGCCCTACCACTGTGGATCCAACCGTATTGGCTAGTACCGGTCACGTGATACTCATACCCTGAATTCTCAAGAGTTAGATATTATTATCTCGAATCTCTCACTAAGCAGTTTTATGTTCTTCAGTTAGGACTCGGATGATTTTCATGACTTAAAAATTGAAATTTTTATTTCATTTGAAATTTTATTATGTTAGTGTACGCCACTTTGACTTGCCACCTTAAAGCTCTGATTGCCTGATCTCTCAGACTCTTATTTTCGAATTCCAGTGAGTGGCGTGATAGCGCCCTAAATTTTTTCTACAACTGTGAATAGCCATATGGCAAGTTAGAATGATCAGGTTTAAACTCTAAGAAGTTGATGCCTGTAGTGAACATAAAGCATAAGCATAGAGAAATTGTTATGGTTTTTTTTGTAGAATGTGGTAAGGCTTGTTATTATTAATCTTACTTAATAAAGTTTTCTTTTTATATATTACTATAATGTGTTTTTATTAGAAGTAGATTAATTCTTAGAGAATATAATTTATATGCCTCCTCTAAACCAACACTTTCTTCTGTATTACTTTTGCTGTAAATTTCTGTAATTCTTGCAATGCTTTCTAGTGAGTTTTTACACAGGCTGTGTCAATATTTTTGTGAACTGAACATATATTTGTGAACTGAACATAAGATTCTGAATGTGGAAACCTTAAAAGATGGGGTAAAAAAGTTGCACTTCTATCAGCTCGTAACTGCAAAGAAGCCCTCATTCATTTAAAGTGCCTTAAGATGATTATTTTTGTTAAGATAAGGCTACAAGGTATTTCTCCCACGTTCTTAGCAAGCCTTCATGGTGTAGTGGTCTGCACGCTCAGCGCGTAATTGAGAGGTCCAAGGTTCGATTTCCAGGGAAGGCATTGCTAATTTTTTATCTTGCCTGCTTCCAAAAATACCTAATGTCTCTACAGTGCTGCCCGAACTAAAAGGGTGTTGGATGATGATTTTCCTCACTGAGGATTTGGTGATTGGGTCTCCTAAAAACCCCAGTCACCTTTTAAAAGGGGGAGTATATAAGGCATTTATTCCGCCTTCTTAGAGAACCTTCGTGGTGTAGTGGTCTGCACGCTCAGCGCATAATTGAGAGGACTGCGGTCCGATTCCCGGGGAAGGTGTTGCTAATTTTTCACAGAGGTATGGGGACTAGGTTAGGAAACTTTCAATTAAACCCGCTTTATTGAAGCCCTACATATTTGAACAACAAAGCCATGGCCCACAACACATTAAATAGATTAGCTATAAAAAGCTTTGAAAGGTACACATAGGGAACTGAAGAAAAAATCTTTTCCATTTTAGTTTTATAAGTAGCGGACATGAATTTAAGAAATAGCTGTTTTTCTATTGATTAATATGTATTTGCTCTGGTTCATGAAAATCTGAATGCAAAAGTGGCAGGCACTGTATTATAAAAATCCTGAGATTTTATAGAAGTAAAATATTATTGAGAAAGAAACTCTAATACTTTTTTCTATTTTTAAAATTACAGACATATGACCCTTTCCTTTTCTTAACACTAAGAGCCTTATATTATATATTCGCGCCTTTAATATATACGTCTCATTTTGCTTAGATCAGTGTTTTTCCACCTTAATTTACATGCATACCCTTTGATTTATCATCACTGTACCCCAACCCTATAAACATTACTTATAACTGTCAACATCTCAGATACAATTATAACGCTATAATACATAGGCATTTTATTAGTTATGCAAAAATAATGTACACTGGTAATTATACACATTTAATTAATTCTTTTATATATATATATATGCAGATTTTCAGTTTAGTAATTTAAATTCTGCATTGGAATATGGAAAATACAGTCTCAATTCCAAACTTATGCTTGAAAATCTGTTCCAGTACTTATTTTTTAATTAACTTTTAAATAAGAAAGCCTTCTCCGCTAATACAATGCTTGTGAATGATAACAATATTGTGATTGCCTTGTTGAATAGTTTATATTTTTTCCAGTCAGTCTAGAATGAAACAGAGGATTGTTTTGAAATTTTACCTTAAGTAAAGAATCCATTTTCAGTTCAATCAACTTTTCCTATGACTGATAAAGATACACACTAGAAATACTTTTCACTGAAAAGGAACGTAATCCAGTGATCACCTGCTTCAGATTTCAGAAAATATTTTTTTAAAGTTGCCTACTGTCTATTCAGATATATTATCCAACATTATTTTCAGAAATAAAATTTTATTACAGGAAACAATGCCAAATTGCCTGCTTGCTTCGTGTACGGATTCTTGAAATATATGTATTATAATGTGCTAACAGATGATCCTATCCCTCTCAACAGGTATTGATCTTGCAGGTACAATAAATATATGTGAACATAAATTGAATTTCAAACATTCTTACACAGAAGGTGTTTACACATTTTTTGAATAATTTCAACAAAAAATTAAAATAAAGCAAATGTTTGAAATAAAAATTTCTGGCAACAGCTCATTATTTGAAATGAAAAATAAGACCTGCTACTTTTAAATTCATTCTTCTTTCAAAATATTGCATGTAAACAAGCTGCGAATTGGAGGATTTGTTTTTGCGAAGATTGGGTTTTTGAATTTGCTTTCTTTCTCATTCTACTATAATTCAAAAGCATTGTGAATGCATAGTATTAAAATTCATTGTGAAATGCATGGTTTTTTGTAAAAGTTTACAAAAAAAAAAATAAATAAATAAAGTGCAAAATAAGCAGCATTATTTGTCAGAAAGGAAAACTGTCAATCATTACTTTTAAATGAAAAGAAGATTCCAAGAAAATAGTCAAAAAAGGAACATACTGTTCCTAACATTTCTTAAGTTCAACCGTTGGTAACAAGAGAAAATCCACCAATGCAGAAATCAATTGCAAAGCCTTTGAATGCATCTGAAGCAACAATAAATAAAATAATAACCCAAGATTTACAGCTTGAAAAAGTTAAAAAAAAATAATGCTCACCATCTTTCACCAAGGCATGTAGCTCAATGCAGATAAGTCTGCAGAATCTGTATGAAAACTATTTAGCAGGAGATAAATGGAACATTGTGACCTATGATGAAGCATGGGTTTACCTAAATGACTGCAGCAGTGAAAGGTCTTTCAGCAGTTCTCAACTTTTTGACCAACGCGTACCATCTAAACTAAAATTGAAAATCTTTAGTACCACCACCACGCTTGAACAAAGCTCAGATCAAATAAATTTATGAGTGTTAGAGAAAAAAACTCAATCAAGATGTTGGGGTTAGAATTTTTTAATTTAATAGTTCAAAATACTTCGCTTCTTTGCGTACCACCTATTTTTTTCTCTTGCGTACCACAAGTGGCATGCATACCACCGGTTGAAAACCCCTGGCCTATTTATTATCATAAACAAAGGGGAAAAGAAGCACAAGCCTGGTTCCAATAATGTAAAGAAATTTTCAGTAAAGGTTTGTGATTGTGGCTAAATTCTCTTACAGCGGGAAATTAAAAATAAAAAGAGTGGGAAGGGGCGGAATGTTAAAATCTACTCAATGTAAAAGAAAGAGAACGTTTTACGTCTGTTACTTACAAAAGACTTTCAAAAAGTAAAATTTCATCAAGGTAAAAAACAAGTCATACTTTGAAATGTGCATTCCTTGGTAAAATGAAGATTTATATAACTTCTCAATGTATTCCTGCATAATCCCCTGGTGTTTCACCCATGGATTATTATACCTTTGGCTTCTTGAAAGAGCTCTTTCTAAGAGCAAACTCATCGTGATTGATGGAAGCAGTAGGAGAGTAATGGAAATCAATACCCCCTAGAAATTTTACAAAGAGCTCTTCTATCATGGAAATCCCGATGCCTCCAAAAAACACTCTTAAATCAAATATTTATGAAAATGCTCTTTACAATTTAAACATTAATTGAATAGCCCTGAAATCATTTTAAAAATGAGTAAACACTCTGTATTTCAGATTCAATTTAATTATTTTGAATTTCCATAATAATATAATTTGGATTAGAAATGGCAGTTAATACCACCGCTTATCTTTTGTCTCATGTTCAATCAATCCATCAGATTTTTATTTTTTCCGTATACCCTCTGAGCCAAATTTGCATTTTTATTTTTTCCGTATACCCTCGGAGACCATTTCAGGTACCCCTTGGAATACATTTACCACAGGCTGACAAAATTCATGCTGAGGGAGAGAGTAACAGTTGCTAATAAAACTCTTAGTTTTACAAAATTTCAGAAAGGAATCATTTATCTTCTATATTATAAGTGTGCATTGTTTATGGGTGCAACAACACGAATCACAAAATACACACACATTTTACAAATATACATATTTCATGTTTTTCAGTTTATATCATTTTTTTGCTAAAAAACAAATATTGAAACAAATAACTCTACTTTTCATTCGTGATTTATATTTTAGGTAGTTTAATAACTTCGACAAACCACAGTTACAAAGATTTAAATACTAAAATAATATTAAATAATGGCTGATCTTTGGAATATGGTAACAGGTAGTTTGGCGACATTTTGGAGGCGATAAAGGTTACTACCTAGGACTTTGGGAATAATGTGAGAAGTACTCAGTTCCGATTATGCATTATTTTGTGTGAGGGAAATGAGAGATCACAAGATATGTCATGTGACATTAATGGACGAATCACTGTTCTTTAATCGGAAAAGGGGGTAAATTAAAAAAAAATATCTGCTGTACAGCATTAGTTTCATTCTATGTTTCTGTGAGACAGTGTTGTTTAATATTTGGACCCCATGGCCCTATATAAAGTAAATCCGAAAATTTTTATTGCGTTTATGTGTAATTGAAAAGAATTACTTAATTGCGGATAAGTATGAATTTTTTAACATGTGGGTATGAAATGAGATAAAAGAGAGATTGTGTGAAAGGAAGGATATTACAGATAAGTTTGAATGGCGGTGCAAGAAATCTGGTGAAAATGGACATTTTGTGATCCGCCATGCACTCAAGATTCTGTAGAAGATTAGGTAAGTTAGTATTTTTAATTAATTTGAGGATATTATTTTTATGCATTGTTCTAAATGTAAGGAGTAAATAAATTAATATGGCTATTATTGGAAAATTGTTATTAGCAATGATTTAGTTTAAAGTAATTAGGATTGTAAGCTAATTTTTATTAATTTAATGTATGTGCTTATTTATATTTTAAGTAGTGTTTTACAATTTAATTATATTTTAATTTAATGATCGTGATTTTGAGAGTTATATGTTTTTAGTATTTTGGAATACGTTTGAGTAGAAGTAAATGTGCATGGAAAGAATTTAAGTATTTGGAACATTTTTAATGTTTTGTTATAGATTCGTTGGTGACGTTTATAATAGATAATTTAGAGGTAAAAGTTTTTGGATATTTAATTTATTTTATACGTGCAAATGTTCATCTTTGGAAAGGGTATATACTTTTTCGCGATCAGGTAATTTCATATACGTCCTTTTTACCGTATTTAAAGATTCACAAAATTATCTTGCATTTTCGTGAAATTTTTCTAATTTATGAGAAAAAAGCAGTGTATATGGATATAGAGAAGAGTGTGCGCAAATGCCATTTTTGTGCAATTCTGGGATTTTTTTTAAGTAAAAATAAGTCGACGTGTACATGGTTTAATTATATTTTAATTAAATGATAGTTATTTTGTGAATTATATGTTTGTAGCAATTTGGTATACGTTTGAGTGGAAGTAAACGTGCATGGAAATAATTTAAATATTTGACACTAAGTATTTGTAACCATTTTTAATGTTTTGTTATGAATTCGTTGGTGACGTTTATAATAGATAATTTAGAGGTAAAAGTTTTTGGATATTTTATTTGTATTATACGTGGAAATGTTCATCCTTGGATAGGGTATATAATTTTTCGCGATCAGGTAATTTCATATATGTGCTTTTTACCGAGTTTAAAGATTCACAAAATTTTTCTGCAATTTCGTGCAAATTTTTGTAATTTATGAGAAAATAGCAGTTTAGATGGATAAAGTCAAGAGTGTGCGCAATGCCATTTTTGTGCAATTCTGGGATATTTTTTTTAAGTAAAAATAAGTCGACGTATACATGGTTACTGTGTACGTGCGATTTTAAAAACGCAGCAAGGAGTTTGCGATTCTGCACTTTTTTCCAATTTTGCAGTTAATATTTGTCATGATTAAGCAGTTTTGTTCCATAAAATTTCTAGCATAAGTGTAATTCAGCTAGTAGATTGTTGGAAAAATTGTTGAGTAAATAAAAAGAAAAGAAACATGTCTTTACTTCGTGAAGACAAAATGGCGGCGAAAAAAAAAAACAGAGGGCTGCTGTAGCAGAGTTGGTCGCCAAATTTTCGCCAAAAAATTGTCAAGTTACCATAATCCAAAGATCAACCTAAATAATTAATACATATATGCCAATAACCCTTTAAAGCAAGAAAATACATAAACAAAAAATTCAAAGTTCAACATGAGATGTTTAGGTATAGATCTTACCTGTGATAGCAAAGCTCTAATGAACTATCCGATTTGAAAGTTAAAGGAGCATATTTTTCAAGTTCACAAGGAAAAGGTAAAATACTGTCTAAGTCATAAACGAATGATCCAGTGTTATTTCCAGGACCATATAAGAAGATAACGTGATAATCCTAGAGATAAAAAAAGTACAAAATACTTTTAAAATACAGTCAAAAGTCGATAATCCGGACTCGTCGGGACTTCGGCGATTCCGGATTATCGATTTTTCTGGATTATAGATCATCAGTTTAAATCTGGTAAGATGGCATGCAGAAATTATAAAATTAAAAATATGAAACCGTTATTTATGAAATAAAGAACAATTATGATCTAAAGGGTATCAAAATTTACAAAAAAAAAAAAAAGCTTAATATTTATTTGTTTACTTTATTAAACATTTCTTTCAATGTAAGTTGTTTAAGTTTTGCTTCGTTTCATGTGATAATACTTTCTCTTTAATTCTATAAACAGACATATTTTCTTGTTCAGTTACAAAGTTCCGCTGTTCAAGTCCTATAATTGCTATGTCGAGAATAGCGACTAATTTGTCAATTGAAATATTTTTCGTTTTCAATAACCTCTGTGTCACTTTCTTCACTATTGGAAGCGAATTATAATGACGAGGAATTTGATTTAAATCATATCAAAGATGGAGTACATCGAGATGAAATACTACATTTAGTAAGGAATTATAAGCCAAATAAAATAAAAACATCTGCCCTGAAGATAAGGATAGCGCTGACAGATCAACTTCCAATTCATTGTGTGCGGCGGCTTCATTTGCGAGTCATGAAACTCGTAAAAAATGAAAAATTTGCTGCTGTACTCTTTTCATGCATCACAACATTAGTGCATGAGATTCATGAATCGTTATGGATGGCATGCAGAAATTCTAAAATTAAAAATATGAAACCGTAATTTATGAAATAAAGAACAATTATGATCTAAAGGGTATCAAAATTTGCAAAAGAAAAAGCTTAATATTTATTTGTTTACTTTATTAAACATTTCTTTCAATGTAAGTTGTTTAAGTTTTGCTTCGTTTCATGTGATAATACTTTCTCTTTAATTCTATTAAACAGACATAATTTCTTGTTCAGTTACAAAGTTCCGCTGTTCAAGTCCTATAATTGCTGTGTCTAGAACACCGACTAATTTGTCAATCGAAATTTTTTCGTTTTCAATAACCTCTGTCACTTTCTTCGTATCGAAAGCGAATTATAATGACGAGGAACTTGTTTTAAATCATATCAAAGACGGAGCATATCGAGATGAAATACTACATTTGGTAAGGAATTATAAGCCAAATAAAATAAAAACATCTGCGCTGAAGATAAGGATAGTGCTGACAGATCAACTTCCAATTCATTACGCGCCCGCGGCGGCAATCCCCCCGCCGAGCAGCGTGAAATTGATAAACAGATTTCGGATTTCAAAACATACTTTCGCTTTAGATCCTTTACATATTAACAAATATATATCGGAAATTCTATTTGATATAATCGAAAGTTTAAGCTTACTTTTATAAAATTGCTCTTACAGTCTGCAAAAAATAATAAGCCGAATCCAATTCGAAAATTAAGGAACAACACAATCATCAACATTAACTGAAATAGATAATTTTAGCTTATACGTCCATTATACATAAAATGCGCACGCGAAAACGTATTCTGCACTTGCGCACACTCATATGCGCAGTCGTAAAAGGTCTTACGCGCACGCGTAAATGCCTATGTGCATGTGTCAACGCGGCACATGCGCAGAAAGTTTTTAGTTTTGAGGTCCGGATTATAGATCATTCCGAATTATGGGTGTCCGAATTAACGACATTTGACTGTAGTTCTTAACTGTTTAGCAACTGGAAAGTTGGCTCATGGAAGTTCCCTCTCATGATTATTTTCAAGCAAAAAATGTTACCAAAAAAAGAAGCATTTCTGACAGGTGCTCTTGTTCGCGCCCAGAGAAATGGTTGGATGGACGACACCCTAACAGTTGATTAGTTTCATAACGTATGATGCAAAAAACCAGATGCAGATTTAGGGAAACCTTCGCTTTTGATTTAGGATATGTTTTAACCGCATGGTTCAGAAGGAATATAAAAGTATACAGAAAGTTAAACAACAACACTTTCTGTGATCCCAGGGAGGCTGACATACATTTTAAAGGATTCAAATGAAATTCTTTGAAAATTTTGTACATATTTTAATGTTTTTATCATGTGCTAAAATGGAAATAAACAAAAATTTGCTAAAGCATGAGTGTTATTTTATCAAGTATATTGGTATGCTGTTTTATCGGCAGTGGTGCCGCTCATGTGACAAATTTGTTTTTCTCAAAAGTCCGGGGGGGGGGGGGGTGTCACCTTATACGTGAGTATATACGGTACCTCTAAATGAGCAAGAAACTATTATTAGGAAACGGCATTGTTGTTTTCTCTGCCTGAGTTCTGGACATCAAATAATGAAACGTAATTAGAAATTGATTTGTTTACTATGTTGGAAAAGACACCGTGTACTTCTGTTCAGAAATATAGTTACAGTAAAAAATGAAACAGAGTCTATGAAAACTGATTTAGAGAGAGATCGGGCACCTGCCAGTGTATCAAGTGCACCTAATGTAATGTTACAAGCATTAACTATGATTTTAAGATGCAATGGAATTGGATTCGGCTATGCAATGGTAAAATTTCGGCTATGCAATGGTAAAATCGAATTGGATTCGGCTATGCAATGGTAAAAAGTGGAAAGCTCAAGCCATTATTGGTTCTGCTTCTCAGAGGTCTTACATTTTGAGTAACATAGCTAAACAGATGGTTTACAAAGCCATAAAAAATTAACACCTTCAACACTCACTGTACGAGGAAGTAATACTAAATTGTATAAATATGATGTGTTTATGGTATATTTATCAAATATGAAGGGTACATATAACTGTCATTTTGAAGCCCTAAGCCAACCTGTAATATGTGATATCATGCCACCAGTAGCATCAGAAGTGCGTTTAAAAGAATTTGCAGACTCGGGCATTTATCCTGGTGATCAGGAATGTGGACCTACTGAAATTTTAATTGGAGCTGACATAACAGGGAAGTTGATGACTGGCAGTTATAAAGTTCTACCCAATGGCCTTGCAGCCATTAAAACAAAATAAGGGTGGATGATTATAGGTCGTGTCTCAGCAGTGCTGTCCAGTGAGGGTGCATCTTTAATTTCATTGCTAAATAAAAATGCTTGTATAACAGATTTATGGACATAGATAGCTTAGGTGTCAGAGACTTTGTCAGAAAGCAAAACAAAATTAGAATTTGAAGAAGATTTCAAGTCCCATTTTTAAAATACTGTTACGAATTTGGTATTTAAAAAGCTAATGTTAGTTCAATTATAAATTAAATGGTTTTATTTCTCGCGCAGTGCAGCGCGTGACGAATATAAAAAGAAAGCTAAGCCGGAAAATTGAAAATACAAGAGCGCGTGCATTAAATAAATAAATATCTCTTTTTGATTTCGAGAAAGTACTGGAAAATTCTAGCGCGTGATTTTAAAAGCTTATAAAAGGAGGAAAACATCTCAGTTTGTAGTAGTTGCTTAGTTTGTTGTTGTTTAGAAAACTGCTCTTGTTGATTGTAGTGAATTCGCGGATTAGCGTTCTTTAGCTGTTTTGAATTGCGTTCTATTGGACATTTGAGTAGTTAAAAGATAACTACTGTGAGATATTGTAATACTGCATGATAATTTGAGAAAATTTAAGCATTTTTGTTGTGATAATAAAAAGTTTTGTTCATTTTTCATCGGACTTGTGCATTCACTTCATAACGAACCCGTACGCACGCAACAATTTCTGGTGTCAGAAGTGGGATTTGAATGCCAATAACAAGAGTGATGGAAGAGCAATTAAGGCATTTAATATCAGCCTTTGCCTCATTTAAAGAAGAAATGAAATTGGGCCAGGAATCCGTTAAGGAAGAAATGAAATTGGGCCAGGAATCCGTTAAGGACGAAATGAAAGCCGTTCAAGCTGGTCAAGAAGAAATGAAAAGAGAAATTACCTGCATAATAGAAAATAAATTTGAAGCTATGGAAGGCAGAATTGACACAGTTGAAAATAAAGTTGGACAAATTGAAGAAAAAAGTTTCTTCTGTAAAAGATCAAATTGAAGAAAGAGTTTCTTCGGTGAAAGAAGAAATAGAAGAAAGAGTTTCTTCTGTAAAAGAACATATAGAAGGAAGAGTTTGTGCCATCCAACACCAAATCGAACAACAAATTGATGATAGGGTTTTTGCAGTAGCCAAAGAAGTGGATATTTTTTAAAAAATTCGTAGCGACGGCAGGGAACAATAGTGATGGTTTTAAATTTTTACACATGCCTGCTCGTCCCTCTCTGAAGTTATCCACTTATGATGGGAAGACCTCCTGGCAAGTGTATAAAACACAATTTTCTATAGTGGCGGATGCGAATGGATGGGATTCCCAAACTAAGGCCTGTCATCTCGCCGCTTCTTTAAGAGCCGACGCAGCGGATATCCTTCAGACTCTTCCCGAAAACAAAAGGTTAGATTTTTTGAAGCTCTGTTGTCCGGCGCCTTGGAGCTGCGCTTTGGAGAGAAAGTGTTTAAAAGACTACAGCAGGCTTCCAATGAAAATCTCGTCAACAGAAAAGCCTACCGAAACACTTCAGGAGCTCGCCACGGATGTTGAAAGGCTGTCCCACCTCGCCTTTTCGGAGTGCCCGACAGAAAAAACAAGAGAAATCCCGTCGCTGGCAATATTTCATCGACGGCATCCGGGATCCTGAAATACAGAAAGATCTTCGAATGGCAGATGTAAAGGACATAAAAAGCGCTCTGTTGTACGCCATGAAGTTCGAGGCAGCCCAGCAAGCAACTAATAGAGATCGCTACCCAGTTAGAGCTGTGCGAGTCCATGAGCCAGTGGATCAACTGATGGCTCGTTTAGATGATTTAGCCAGACAAGTCGACGATTTGATACGGAGTAGGAGGGAGAAGAAAGTGGCTCTAAGGTGTTGGAGATGTGGTAGTGAAGGTCACCTAAGACGGAATTGCAGAACACCCCAGGGTACGGAATATAAAGCAGATGATTTTACCAGACAAGTCAGTGGCTTGAGACGGAACAT